AAACCATATACTTTTTTTTAGTATAGATAGTATTTATTTACCTTATGATATGCTGCAAAACCTAATTAATCACGAATTTCTAATTTTATTTATTTAAAAAATAGTAAGCAATATTAAATTTATTTGTGAAAATAAACATTGATAGGTACTTTTAAAATAAAGGTAGTGGGTGGATTTATATATGTATAGGGAATTTCTTAAATGACCCATAGTAGAGATTTACAAATTTATGATAATATACAAGGTTTTCCATTTGAATTTATCGAAAAAATTGCAACCTAGAATTTGGACACGTCCTGCATATTGTAAAAAGACTTAAAACGTATTAGGCAGATTGAAAGGGCATATAATGCAAGGTGTGCCCATAATAAAATAATGGTAAGTAATGTATTAAAGAAGCTGCAGAGTATCAAATAAACCCTAGCAAGAGATTATTAGCCACAAAAAGGTAATCTAAAAATAAAGCAATGTCTACAACAGTTTCATTTAAAAAGGTAGGCATGAATAATGGTTAAATTATTGTGAAAGACCCTATACATTCGCAAACAATTTTAGTTTGTGGTATTCATCAGTCCCTATAACTTTTTGGTATTAAATCCTTTCCTCAACCATATGTATTAATCATGCTATTCTACGTGAACACACTGTTGGACTACCTTGCATATAAAATTTGTGTAGGTAGTTTATTAACTAAAATAATTAATTTATTTTCAAATTAATGCGTTTCGACACAAGTTATCATTTAAAAAAAGGTACTTTACCTCGGGACCAGCTAAAGCTAAATCTACCATCTGAGGCAATGTTACAATAGTGCTACTTTTAGCCATTTTTTCAATATAAAATGAACTTATAAAAGAGGAATATAATGTGCAATATAATTTAATTAAACAACAGTCATCGAACTGTCAAAATGTCCCATTTTCAAAAGACTGTCTGATTTATATTTTAAATTTCGAACGATAAAAATATCTTATAAAAAGGAGAACTAACGATATACTTATAGAATGAGTTAACAATTAAAAATGTAATTTGAAAATAAGTTAATTATCAAAGGAACATTACTGTGCACTTTTAAACCCCAGCAAAATTCGGTCAACCTGATGTTCACACCTAATATTCATAAAAGTAAAAATTCACTAATTCACACAGAATCTTTCCAGAAAATTAATAATACAATTTTTAATAAATATTCATTTCAACCTTTTTGCTTTTACTGTCTGCACATTTTCCTAATGGTGCCGAAAAAAACCTTTTTGACCTTCCTCCTTTGTATTACGGAAATTATTGAAAGTAGTAGGTAATATAGTAAGTACTGTTGATAATTATTTTGAACATAAACTCACTGTAGAGCTTCCATCAGACCCTGATTACTGGGTAAGTCTGTTAATTCTTTAATTTGTAATTTCATGACTCCAACGTCTCTTTCTATATTTTCGAAAAAGTTTCTGTCAACAGCGACGGTAAGATGAGGAGTATCTATGCCCTCTTCATTAGGCTCCACAACCACCACGGTTTCGCCTAAATTATTTAAATTAAAGAATTA